CATATGAGTAGAAAAGCATGAGATAAAAAGTGAAAATCCCCCTCCCTACTATCTGCCATTCCTCCCATTCCATAAATTATTCAATCCAAATTACAATATAGAATAATAAACTACCTCTCCAACTCTCTGCTGGCCAAAATATGTAACTATAAAAGGAAAGCAGGAAAAGGAAACCTAAATCTAACTACAAGGCAAAGAAGGAAACTGTAAGATGATAGTAAAATGCCCTTCACTAGGTCAAAGATGGGAATTAGGAAAACAGAGTTCAAGACATAATAACACCTGATCTATATAAATGACAACTGTACAATAACTCTTCTTGTATGAACATAGCCTTTCTTCTGCGAAATTAGAGAATGATTATATTTGTTACAAAATAAAAACCTATCTAGAGAATGGATCAAGCAATAACCTGCCGTTTTATTTCTCTGTAAAACAAAGTGATAAGGGATTCAATAACTTTTGTAACGTTAAAGGACAAGACCTAGTTGAGCAGGAATTCTGACTTTGAGAATATAGTGTGTAATTTTACATAAATATTACACTACATGCAGATTGTGTACACATGTGGATGCGTGTGTTATTATTTGGAGTGGTGGCTAATATTGCAGCTAAATATGCTAATGAGACTGAAAAAGTAAGTCCAAGTTCATAGCTTCCCAACTTCATAAAATTTCCTTTACTCTGGACTTCTTGCCTGGTACCTTTCTTTTCTGATTAATGCCACTTATCCACAAGACATCATTCATTTCTTGACCTGATCACTCTGACCTGTCTGTCCTTTTCCTCACTCACACTGACTTTATCCATAACTGTGTTTTTCATGGGCCTTCCCACTTTCCTCTGAAATGACCTGTGAATACAGCAGCCTCTTCCACTAAGCTTTCAGTGCTACAAGAAAATTTCTTCCTTATTGCATCCGTGTTGCTCAGTACAGTGTCTGCCGTGATGCTAGTACCTAATCAGCGTTCAGTATTGTTTTTCTAATATCTGACTAGTATTTCAGTAACTAAATCTTCCTCTTGTAAACCATCTGATACAAAGTGAAGCCTCTGTGTTTGAGAAATTTCCAATACAATTCAAAAAGCAACTTTTAAATGAATCATCTCATTTAATTGAGCATTTCCCTTTTTTTTGTAATGCACAGAGTTGGTCTTATTAAATAAGGATTCTGTGTTGGAAACGTGTTGTTCACCCCAACAAGTCAGCAAGTGCAGAGGTTTAGCACACAGGTGTTGGAGGCAGGTGGTCTGACTGTGCCAGATGGCTGGTTGTTTCCACTCTGCCTCCACTCCCTCCTCTGTAACATAGGTGAATACCCTGGGGTTTTCAGGATTCACTCCCTTGGGCAGTTGTCAGGATTCACTGAATAAGGCAGAAAGGCTAAAGAATATAAGTAAGTATTCAGATGCTGGGTACTATTACCGTACAAAGTTAAACAGTGCTTCTTTCTTCATGTTTCCTTGTTTTGTTAGCTTGTGTAAGACCGCCTTTAATATGCTATGCACCTGGGAATCTCCAAGGTAGCCATATTTCTCCAGTTTACTTCGTGAAGGTCCTATTAGAAAATCCCAGAAGTGGGACAGCTCAGAACACACTTTGGGAAAATTCCTATGTTATCAATCTTAAAGTTTATTAACATCTACTGAGCCAAAATTATGACATTAGTCTAACAAGTATAGTTGTAACCTGAGGCGTTGAGACATAGTATTTGAGGGGAGGATTGTCTTTGCAATCTTTCACGCAAACAAATGAATGAGACCTATCCATTACTATGGTTTTTTTTTTCTTTTTTAAAAAAGATGAAATTTACTAATCTAAGGTGAAGACCAAAAACATTGTTCAAATAAAAAAAAATAGTCTAGGCATCATGCATCCTTTTCTGATCTGGAGAACTATTACTTAAAAAAGATTAAGGCTTGACTTCCTTATTCAAAGTCATGCCTTTTATCTTAATTCTGATGCTTCTGATAAGAACTTCCTCTAGAGTCAGGAAACTTTGCAAGTCTGAAATAACCTGAAAGGAGGTGGTAAAGAAGGAAGTAGCTAACCAAACTGAAAAAGAGGAAAAAACTCTGAACCAAATCACATAGCCAAAAGAACACAAGAGAGGTTGACATAGCAATCTCAAGGTAAGACCCAGATTTAAGGTGTGTGGGTACTGAAAACCTATAAGAAAAAGGTGATCTTTAATAGCTTTTAATTTTATCAAACACAGTTTTTAAGTGACTCTAGGTGGCAGGAATGTAAAAAGCCAATTTATAAACTGACAGTGATGTTATTATTTTCTTTCAAATACATATCTATACTCAACAAGTAAAGAATGAGATGATGCTTTGCTATTGCCTCATTTCCAATAGAATAATACCTGGCTGAAAGTTCCAGAATTTTATCAACAATTTGTGCTTTTGAGACAAATAGGTAACCTGTTAGAACTATTTTCCAAAAAAACAATTTTGCTTCCAACTTAGGCAAAGTGAAATTTATTTAGGGGTGAGCTGTATTTGAAGTACTCTCATTTGTTATTGTTGTTTATGACTCAAACAAATTATTTTTTAATGTTATTTTGAAGACCGGTAAATGACACATTTATTTTCCTATAAAAAAAATCTTTATCTCAGTGAATATTTAAATACTTTAATAATTTTAATATTGAGAATATGCTGATATATGTACTCTACATAGAGCAAAATAAATAGTTATCTTAGAAATACAGGAGGGTAATTTCTCATCCTCAGGAGACAATAAAAATAATAAATAATAACAACATAAAATAAAAATAGTAATAATAATAATTCCCCACTTTTGTTGCAGACCTAGAATCTTTTTAAAAGTTAATTTATATATTATTTATATTTTAAATATTTCATTCAATATTTAAAATTTAATACAAATATAAAATATTTAAAATTTCATACAATTACGAAATAAGCAATTTACCATAAGACACCTTACATATGATCAATTCTTATCAGTTTCAGAAAGTAGACTTTTAATGGTCCAAGTCATTTGCTAAGCCTTTGCCCTTGAACACGTTGTTTCTGCCCTTATTTAAAAAAGGGCCCTAAAAGCTCCGGTTCAATTATGAGGTATCTAGATCTTACAAACAATCATATTTAATTATTTTTATATGAAATGCCAAATTAGAGATTAATAAATATTGTGATCATGAACAAAGTCAGAAAAGTGCCATATGTGACTGTGTACTAAAAGAAAGGCATATCAGTGTAGACTTTCTTTTATCCTATTTAGCATTACTATTATTACTGAAATGCTGGCTGCTCCATTCAGTAACAAATACTTAATAAGCTAGCAAGTCAGTGTTGCAGTACTAGTGCTGGTAAAATAAAGATAAATAACATACTATTTCTAGCACTCAAAAACCTCAGAATGAAGCAAGTTAGAAGCTGACCCAAAATAAGTATGTAGACAATTATTAGTGATGACATTCAATAGATGATAGTCATCTCAGAAACCTGCTGTTAATATCTGTTAATTGTTATTACTGTACTGTATATTTGCCAAAAGAATAAATCTTAAAAATTCTCATCACAAGAAAAATTGTAACTATGTGAGTTGCTGTATGTTAACTAAATTTAGTGTGGTAATTATTTCATAGTGTGAATACTTATCAGGTCACTGTTGTATATTTTAATCTGTGATATTGTATGGCAGTTACTGAATGGATTTAGAAAGAAACAGTAAGAACAAAATCATTTTGGATATAATTGTTCCTATGTTTAGCTTCATAAAATTAGAATAGTTTGTCTAGGTGAACAACTCCCATTCTTACTTTACCATTTTATAACATCTACAGAAAGTTTTCTAAAATCATCTCAGTTGAGAGAAAGTTACCTGTGAAAGTTTTGGGAAGACAAGTGATAGGAAGACTTTCCAGTTTTGTTTTAGATATTTTGCTATACATATTTTGTGTGATATGAAAAAGCTTTGTCTTCTTTTAAAAATAAACTATACCCTTTAGAAATCGTATCTTGAGTTTTAAACCATCTAAGCAATTAGATGCTGAGATCTGAAGTCATGTGTTTATTTAATCATTCACTAAGTAAATATTGATTTGTGCCTTTTATGTGTTAGATGTCATGCTATTCTCCAGGAGTATAGATATAAAAAAAAAATCTGCATCGTGTCCTCCATGTAATTAGACAGGAGGACACACAGTTCTCTGTAATTGTTATTATCATGCTAAAATAGAAAATGGACTCACTCATATAGGAATACAGCCATAAGAATACAGAGGAAGCCATGTTTAAGAAAAAGACTTAGTCTCTGGGAACTCCAAAGGGGAGTGGGCAGGGCTTCACAAAGGAGATGATAGGTATTGGAAATGATCACGCATATATACTCTTGTTCCATCTCTCCTGCTGTGTTCAAAGCATTATCTTTCACTTGAAAATGATTAGTTGTATAGTTAAAAGCCATGTTGAAATCTAAGTGATAAAAGCATTAAGGCTCTGGTAGTTACCGCACTTGTAACTCATTTTCTCTCCACAACATCTGGTATTATATTTTATATTGAAACAGCAGCTCACCAAATGTGGTGCCTAATGTATTGGTAGAAACTGTAGGTTTTAGGTTGTATATTAAATATGCGAGTAACATGTTTATACTTTATAGAAGATAACAAGATGGCAGCTAATTCAACCTTACTTATCTTGAGTTTCTACTCTGTTTTAATGCTGTAGCCATTTCTGCTTCACTAGTAGAAATTGACACTGTGCAGTTTTACATTGATGATTTTAAAGTGAAACCATCGCATACAAAGAGAGCAAGAACGAGCTTCCAAAACTTAACTTTACTTACTCTCTCCTCTAATTGCTTCAGGACATTGTCGTATCTTCTTCTAGGGCTGAAAAATAGATGCCTAAAAGTTATTTCAAAATCACATTTGAACCATACTCTACAGGGAACTATTTTGGTCTGTACCTGTGAATTCATCAAGGGACTTCCCCAGACTACCGAATATCACTGCTTGTGCAAAAATGCTGAAAAGTTGTGAAAGTACTACAGTGGCAATTTCTGTAGGAATTTCTTTTTTTTTATTATTGATGGTCTGTGGAGTTGGGTGTATTTGGCACTGGAAACGCAGTAACACACAACAGCTCACCTTACCAAGTTTTTTGCAAAGGAGAAGGAGCAGGAAAGAAGATTATACCGAAACACTTCCCATCCATCCCCATGTGATCAACCCACAACCAGAAATGACATTTCAAACTGAAGACCACATATCTGCTGAGAGAGAGGCTAACATACAGGACAATTATGAAAATATGAAAATAAGTCCTTGCGAAGCTACTGAGGAAATTGAGAAGGAAATATATGAGAATAATGGACAGTCCAATTTTGAAGAGCATATTTATGGGAATGAAATAGCATCTCATTATTGTAACTTCCAGAAGCCTAGTATTAGTACCTCTGATGTTCCTCAAGATGACGACATATATATTCTTCCAGATCCATAGTAACTTTTCAGAATACTGTGTTTTGTTATTGGATGAATATTAACTTGGATTTTTATTATACTGATGTCATTATTAATGAAGTAATTCTGATGAATTTAATGGTCTTTTTCTATCTCCCCCTATTCCAAACCTCTTTATGTGGATTATGGTGTATAAACTTTAGATATTTGTTGCACCCTCCTTTCCCTGGAGTAATTCTGAATTATGTTATATTGATTCTTCTTTTGAAATGTCACCTGTGATGTTTTTATTTTTTCTCTTTTTCTGAGTCAGGATTGTTTTCAGTCTCCTTTCTGTCTCTAGTTTCTACTTGAGTTCTCCATGTTGCCTGCAGATATGTCTTCAGAAAATTTTCCAAAATGGCCAAGTTATTCGTTTCCTTAAAAAGCTTTTAATGTACCACATCTTTTAATCCAGTCTTTTATTTTGGAACATTTGGGTTGATTCCACATATTCCCTATTGTAAATATAGCAGCAATAAACAAGGGGGTGTTGTGTTACACATATGCAATGGAATATTACTCAGCAATCAAAAAAGATAAACTCATGCCTTTTGTAGCAACATGGATTGAGCAGGAAGGGATCATGCTTACTGAAACAAAGCAGAAAGAAAAAGAAAAATACTGGATGCCTTCACTCATAGCAGGAGCATAAGGAATTGGGGGAAAAAAAGAGAGAGAAAGAGAAACAAACAAATCTAATAGAGTAAAAATGAAAACAACGAACAGATATAAACCAGAGACATTTAATGGGGACGTAAGGGGAAATGGGATTGGAACTGGGTGGCAAGAGTATACTGGACTGTAGTGATGGCACAGGGGTGAGTTGTGATGGAAAGCCCATGGGGATTACAACTGCAATGAAAAAATACACAAAATGAAGAATAATGTAAAAAAATTAATTAAAAGCAGTGGAGATAAATTTAGCTTTTAATGTCTCCCCTTTGGAAAAATCATAATGCTCATAACTAATTCCAGAATTTGTTTTTACACATTAGCTCCAGTTTACTTTGCCAGTGACTTCTACTGCCCCTCACTTCTCTGCTCTTATCAAACTAATACTAAATTTTCTCAAACTCATCCTTTCTCTCCTGTGTCTGCCCCCTCTCAAGCCTGCCTTGATCAGAACTTCTTCGCCAGAGCTTCTGGATTATTCCAGTAGATCTTGTTCCTCAAGACTTTGCTGTCTGTTCAGGTCTTTGGAAATTTAAGCACATGATTGCTTGCTGTGGCATTTTTATTATCAACATAACACAAGAATATCTACATTCCCTGCTAAATGAGTAAGGAGTGGCCTCATATTCATATGTTAGCCTCAATTGCCTAAGCATAAAGCACTCAATATTGATCAAGTGATGAGAATTGAATTGTATATTTTGTTAAGTAACTTTGAAAGAAATCTAATAAGTGTGTCTAGTCAAGAAGGGCTTACTGTATCTTCTGATTCTTACTATGCTTCTCACATAGTGAGAATAAAGTAGTAAAAGGAAAGACGTGGGACCTAATATGTACTATGTAGTAGGGAAGGGAAAAAATAAATAAATAAACAAATGAATAGTATGCCAAATCTTAAGCAACATGATTTCAGCTCCAAACCCACTGTGGTAAATGCTGCTATGAGTATCTTCAGCCAGGGAGCAGTTCAAGCTATATCACTTCTGTAAACATTTTTTCTTGCCAAGTGGATCCATGATGGGTTCTCCAAAAAGGGGGCATTAAGAATACTGGTGTATAGAAAGTAAAAGAGGTCTTACCCCTTTTCTTTACTGCCCCAGCAGATACGTTAGCCATGTAGCTGCTCTGGCATCACTGGCTGTTTGCTGGTTCTCGTTTCTACTACAACTCCCGGAATCAGCTTCATTTTACCCTGCCAGAGGTGCCAACACCAGCCAACCAGCACCCTCTTAGGATGTGAGAACCCTTTACTCAAGGGCTCCCCTTCAACCTCCCACACTACTGCAGGAGACAGATGATCCCCTCAGAAGTGTGGGTCCCATTCCATTCCAGCAAGGTGTCTCCTCCTAGCTCCTAAGAACCCTAGGTGCTTATTTTCTGCAGTTACTACCCCACAGTACCTCATTGTCCTCTTGTCTTGTTAGCCTCTATGTATATATATTTAAACTATCTCTGTATATTAAATTCTCCCTGTGGAAACAAACTGGTATGGATTCTGTTTCCCAAGTGGACCCTGAATGATATAAGTTAAATGGGTATCAAAGTTACTTTCAAGACAAAATACTGCTTTCTGTTTTTGAGAGCAGTGAAGGTTGGGGAGAGAAAAGGATTTCAATCTGAATTTTTGAATTTAGAGAGGTCAAAGGAAGACTCCTAAGGACACACATAAGCTGAGTGTTGAGAGTGAAAGGGTCACTCGTGAAAAGTGCAGATTTAAGGGGAATTGTAATTCAACTTCTCTTTTTATTGCCCATACTCTCCATTCTTCATCCCCTCTCCTATATTTTTATTCCTCTTCCTTTCTCTCTTTTCCTCTCTCTCCTTCATTTCTCTTTTTCTCCTCTTCTCACTTTCTTTCTGCTTCCTCCTTCCCTTCCCCTTCCCCTCCCCCTCCTCTTCCTCTTCCACTCTTTAAATCTTCAATTTTCTATCTCCTCTCTGAACAGTTTATTGCAATATTTCTCTGCCTTCTTAAGATTTCAAAAAGCATTGACCTTGAGAGTTAAAGATAATAAAATTTGTCTATATCAGTTCGTAGCTATGTTATATTATTTGCAAAAGTAACCACATGTACCACAATAAAAAAGAGGAAGGATGTAGGGGGTGGAGCAAAGGACACAGTAGCATCAAAAATAATGAGTGTGGCTTTACTTTGCACTCACAGAAATGCAGACAAGTTCAGCAGTGACTTACATTTCATAAGATTCCATGGCCAACATCCAGCAACAGTGAGTGCTGGTTTCTAGCTTGACCTTGATTTCTGCCTACAACTTGAAATATTTCAATCTGCTTTACACTCAGTATAAAGGTAACAATAACACACCACAATGTCTCATTTCATCCCCACTTCAAATGCATTCTTGGTTAGCTCCTTGATAACTTTGCTTTATAACCTCCTACTTAATGCTCAGACCAGGCCCTAAAGCCCCCTGCTCCAGGACCCCCCACTGTTTTATCATCTCAATGGTGAGTCTCACTCTTCCCTTAAGTCCACTAGTCTTTCTGGGTCCACTTTCCTGCTCATTCCTGTCTGATTCCCAGGATCCAACCAGGACATAGGCCTTGGTAGTTTTTCTAGCATTCTTTTAGCTCCTGTTTTTGGATGTAGCTAGGCTTATCTACTGATTTTTCTAGCCAAGAAAACCCCCCCAAAAAATTATTTGAGACTTCAATATGTGACCATCTTCCTCAGGACCAATCTAAAAGTGAGAGAAAAGTAAATTTATTTTTATTTATTTTTTAAAGATTTATTTATTTATGCATAAAAGAACTGGGTACAAGCCAGAGGTATGGGGGCTGGTGAGAGAACTTACCAGAGATAGAGTGGGAAGCAGAACAGGTGGACCTACTGAAGTATAATGCTGAGGGGAGCAGCAGGTGAGACAGGAGAGATAAATTCCTTTTTTAATTTTTTTTTTTCTGGAGAAAAATAGGAGCTGTTCAAGCCTTGCCACATTGTATGGCTTTTCATTAATGAGTGCTAAGTTACTGAATAATACTAAGGTCATTTTTTTAACTTGTGTTTTATTTTTGTTGTCTTGGGGAAAGACATGAGAAAATCACCTTTAATACTGTTAAGCATAGGGATCTCAGACCTCAGGGTTAACTTGTGGTTTAAAGGCATAGAAGTCACTGATCATAGTTATTTTGTACCACACCATGCAAATAGTCAGCTTTCTTTGCATTGGAATCAATAATAGGAAGCTTCTTTATGGGAATAGTTTTATTAAAGACATCAGAAAAGCTGTCTCTGGGCTGTAAGAATACTATTTGTGATCACCAAACTCTACTGTCTCAAGAATGGAGTGGGATATGGTCATTGAATCTGGCATCAGAGTGACACTGACCTCATAGAATTTTCTGGAAGAGTTTGTATAAAACAAAATTGATTTCTTCCTTAACTGTTTGATGGAATGCATTAGTGAGGCCATATGAGCCTGGAATTTTTCTTGTGAGATTTGAGATCTGGGAGCCCCTGAGACATAGACAGAATTAGTTATGGCATACGAGAATGATGAGAGTACATCATTACAAAGGCTGATTGCTAATAATTTAATAAATTGACAGCTCAAAATGACCTAGTACCCAAAATATCAGCCTTACAATGTAATGGTATCAGTAGACCATGTGCTGAGTGACTACTTAGACTTTTTCCCTGTGATCCCCATCACAGGGTAGTACCACATATGGAAAGTAGTGTCCTCTCCTGTTCTCCCTGTGACTTCTGAATGGAGAGCTCTGAAATGTAGCACTGTATGTACGCAGCAAGAAGGGTTCAGACATCAGGCAAGGCACCTGTCTGAAAACTTCCCGTGTATAGCCCAAAAGTACTACTTTGCTCATTCATTTCATCAGTTTTGTTTGCTAGTACTTTTTACATATACTTAGGATAACTACATTGAGCTGGACCTAAAATTCAATATTTAGTGGACTGTCTCATGAAATAGTCTATTCTGAGAAAATGGACATCCTCTGATACCTCTAATATAGAAGGAAGGTTTCAAATTCATGTTAAGTAAAAGCATTTTCTGCTAGGTGGTTACAGTGGGATAGACAGGTGGCTGCAGAACAACAAAGTCATGGAATTTATAACATATTTATCAAGTGCCTGCAACCTGGGAGAACATGAAGAATGCAGCTACAGGGTGGGAAGCTGGGAGTTTGAGGCACTGCATTCACAGGCTTATCCATCACACAGGAGTTTCCATACTTATCCAGTCTACTAACATGCATGGATATAGTGGTTTGCTATGAAAACAGTTTTGGAGTTAAAAAAGCTTTTCTGCAGAATGTGACACCTACATTGAGTCCCGAAGGGTAAGTATT